GATGGCCGTAACACTGGAGCTGCACCGATCTGGAGCCAGGAGCCAGGAGCTTCCTCCAGGTTTCCCACGTGGGTGCAGGGGCCCTAGGACTTGGGATATCTTCCACTGCTTTCCCAGGCCATAGCAGAGAGCTGGATTGGAAGTGGAAGCAGCCAGGACTCGAACCGGCGCCCATATGGGATGCTGGAACTGCAGGCGGCAGCTTTACCTGCTACACCACAGCGCTGGCCCCAATAACCTCTTTCTGACCACAAGTTTAGACTTATTCATGATCCTACACTGGCAAAGGGAATTTAAATCCTTTTCACCCAGATAGAGGACTTAAAGCTTTGCAACACCCTCATTGCTGAGGGAGATAAGAAATCATACTCTGAGTTGGAAGCCATAGTGTTTGTGCCCCTGGAACGTGGGTACTGGGTTACACACTCCAGAGGATGGAGATATTAAGGAACCTCTGAGGCTGGTGTGGCTGCATTTTAAAGATCTCATTTACAAGGGAAATGATGATTCTGCCAAATATTTTTTCCCATGTACCCTTTCCTTTGAAAGATAACATCCTCTTGGTCTTTTATCTCTGCTTCTTAGTTATATAAACCTCTTCCCAGCTCATTTTCCATGAAAGTGAAGTAGAAATAACTTTTTGAAAAGGACTTGTCAACATAAAGCTATAGGGAAGGTTGATGGTCAGAGGACTCAGGGAGCTGTCATGGTCACAGCTCTGCAGTCATGGTTATCTGGAGACCAGCAGCCCTATGTTCTTTCTTTTCTCCTTCAGAACATTTAGATTAGATGCAAATTACTTCTCAGGTCTGAATTGTACTCCAATCCAACCATTAAACAACTAAACCTCAAAGTTTTAATCTTTAGAAATTCAACTGAGTCATTTTTTAATAAGAACCTGCTATGTGTTAGACCCCCTATTTTAAGGGATAGAAAGATAAGTAGGAATTGTGCAGTTATGCAGCAGGTGATTTCAAAAAGTTTGTATAAGATAGGATTAAAAGGGAGGTTGATTTTGGTACAAAGAAAGTTTGAAATCCATGCGTAATTTCTTCATAATACACTTTCTCCATGAACTTTTTAAAGAACCTTCCCTCTGCTTAACTCTGGATGCCAGATTTTCTTAGATTGGGGGCAGGCATTTGGCACAGTGGTTAAGACATCCTCGGGATGTTTGTTTTCCATATGTAAGTGATTGGGTTAGAGTCCTGGCTCTACTTCCAATTCCAGTTTCCTGTTAATGCACACCCTGGATCGCAACAGGTGATGGCTCCAGCGCTTGGGTCCCTGCCACCCACATGGGACACCAACTCAGACTGAGTTTCAGGCTCTTGGCTTTGGCCTGGTCCAGCCCCAGTGTTTGTGGGTATTTGAGAAGTGAGACAGTGGATAAAAGATCTTTTTTTGTCTCTCTGCCTTTTTTTTTTTTTTTTTTAAGAACTGCATCCAAAGTTGATGGAAATATCCTTTCTCTTAGCATGCAGATAGAGCCTCCTGGGAAGCTTCTCCAGATATTCCTTCTTCTACAGCTTCATGGCCCCAGTGGTTCACCTCAACTTCTCCTATCGCTCCCCCTCTTCGTGGAGGAGCGACACAGGACCCTGCGCTGTTCTTTTGTCTGCTCGGCCCTTCGCGGGTTTGCTGCTGGTTCTTCCCGGGTTGGCTACCGTCCCTTCCACCTCCGTGGAAGGGCGGTTCCCCCTGCCACTTTCCCCACTTCCACAGGGGAGCGGCACACCGCCGGCCGGCTCTCTCGGGGGCTGCACAGGTGTTCCTTCAGATAGATGTTCCTGGTGCATGTTGTCTCTCTCCTCCTTTATAGTCCTCTTCCACCAATCCCAACTCTGCTACCCACATGCCGAGTACGCTGCTCTCCTCCAATCAGGAGCAGGTCCTGCTGCTTATTGGTTGAACTGGAGGCAGCTGTGTAAAAGCTGTTTACTCCTCTCCCAGCGCCATATTGTGGGAGAGCAGATGCATAGAATAAGTCTTAATTCCAGTAACAGTCTAGTCCGAGTTGCTCCCCACATCTCCCAACAGTAAAATCAGATGGATAACTTCATCTGATTTCCCACTCAGCTTAACAGGAAATAGAAACCTGCATCTAAAAATTAGAGCACTTTAATTCCTCATAGCTCCAACAAGCCGAGCCCTCACCCCACCCCCACCCCATTATATGTTGCTAACAGCAACAGGACAGCTTGAAAAATCATCTCATAACCCCTGGGACATTCCTGCAGTTCATCCACCAACTCCCAGGCACTCGGATCCCTCTGCTGGCTGATAGTGGAAACACTGCATAGCTTTTGCTTTCCTTCTTTTTTTCGTTGTTTTTAAATGACTTAAGGAGTTTTTTTTAAACTACAGCTCATATATATATTTGAGAAGCAGGGAGACAGACAAGACAGAGATTTCGTCTGCTGGTTCACTATCCAAGTGCCCACAACAGCCATGGTTGGGCCAAGGCTGAAGCTAGGAGTTGTGTACTCAACATTGGAGGGTGGCAGGAACCCAATTACTTGAGCCATCACTGCTGCTTTGCAGGGTCTGAATCAACTAGAAACTGGAGTCTAGAGCGAGAGCTGGAAATGCAACCCACATATACCGCTGTGGGACATGGGAATCTTAACCATGAGGCTAAATACCTGCGCCCCAAAGTTAGGGTATACTGGTGATCATTTTCTTTCTCTTTCCCACGCTCCCTCCCTGTGTTTCTCTTTCTATCTGATTCTTCAATCTATGATACATTTCTAGTGATGTCTTTGATTCCTATAATAAGCACTAGTTCATAGCCTGTTCCTGGTAGGAGACAGTTTTTGGTCTGTTCAGAGAGTTCTGGCTAAATGAATGCCTCAGTGCAGGGTAACAGACTCTGCCATAGAAGTAAGCACAAGATGCGGCATGGGCATTAGTCTCTCCACTCATGAAGCCTTACTGTGTCTCACATCAGTGATGGTTGTAATAATGGCAAATGTCTTTGAAGACTTAGAACCAAGCACTTTGTTAAATATTTTCCAGCATTATGTCATAGTTCTTGCATCAGCATTATAAGGCAGTTCCTCTGTCATTAACAGATGACAAAGCTTAGGCTGGAGTCATGTGACTTGTTAATAGGGCTCAGGACTGGAGCTCAGGTCTCTCTGGCATCAGTGTCACATTATGAACTTCTCTAGTGTGACCTAGAGTTCTGAGCTATGGAGGCCCATATTTGGCAAAAGTTACTTGACCTTGCTGCCTCATGGATGTCTCTTACCTCTTTTTTCTTCTCTCGAGAATTCTAGCTTTTCCTTCAAGAATCAGTTCAGGGGCCACTTGGAAAGGCCTGCTTCCACCTTCTGTTTCCGTTGTGTTCGCAGGGCCTTTGTGAACTGGTGCTAGACTCTAAGGAGCACTTAATACATGTTTTTGTCAGGATTTTCCTACTTGTCTGTCTCCCCAGTAGACTGACATACTTGAAGGCAGAGAGTCCATTTTATCAGACTTTGTATCCCTTGTATCCAGTATCTAGAACAGAGCCCAGATTATAATAATAAAAATTACAGAAATACTTAACATTTACTGAGCATCTATTCCAGGCTGGGAAGAGTGTTAAGTACTTCCACTTTCAGTCTTTCATTTAACCATTACAACAACCCATACAATACATAAAATTGTTATCTCATTCCATTTTATGGATGAAAAAACTGAGGCTTAGGGAGTCCTATAACTTGCTCAGCATCACCTAGTAAGTGGCAGAACCAGGGCTTAATTCCAGGTCTCCCTGAACTTCTTTCACATTATTTTCTGTGCCCTACATTTTTTACTGGATTTTTTTTCACTTCTTTCAAAATTAGGAAGTATAAGTCAGAAAATTTCATTTTATTCACTAAAATTAATAGCTAAGTATTCTGAGCAGCATTTGCTACATCTCTACTGGTTCCACCTGCAATGCTGGCATCCCATATGGGCACCAGTTCAAATCCTGGCTGCTACACATCTGATCTAGCTCCCCGCTAATGAGCATAGGAAAGCAGTGAAAGATGGCCCAAGTGCTTGGGCCCTTGCACAAACATAGGAAACCCTGATGGAGTTAGAGGACCCTGGCTTTGGCCTGGCCCAGCCCTGGCTGTTGGCAGCTATTTGGGGAGTGGACCAGCAGATGGAAGGTATCTCTCTTTGTTTCTCTCTAACTCTGCCTTTGAAATAAATAAATCCTTAAAAGAAGGTGACTGTAGATATGCTCAAAATCTATTCATTTACCCAGTAACTTCACATGAAAATTTGCAGCAATTTTGTGACTTATTTTATGAAATAGTTGATATGTTCAGCTGTCGCCTGGAAATTCCAATTGTAAATTAAGCATTTCTGACACCTGAAACTAATTGAGATTTATTTTCCCAGGAGAGGAAAATCCCAAAGTACTTACCTTCAAATAACATATTAAAAAAAAAAAAAAAAACAACAACAATCTTTACAGTTAGATTTTATGTTAGAAATTTAGGTCATTTGTTACTTTGAACTGTTAATGAAATCCCAGAATATGCCTTGATTTTTACCAGCCTAATTTATGACTGAATTTCCCATCTTTTTAATTTGTGGTTCAATTGGTTACCTCAGACTTTCAGGTTTCCAGTGAAACTAGTGAACAATTTAAGATTAGTAATATCAACACTTACTATTTCACACTATTAGAGCCTGTCTGATGATTACATTTTGATAACTTCAAAGCCTTTAAAAGTAACCTTCCAGATGTCAACCAGTCTTGTTTATCATTAAGTGTTAGGGGCTAACAGTCACATCTTAAAAGATGACACAGAATCAGAGTGGTGGGGCAGTAAGGGATCCTGGTCCAACTCCATCATTTCACAGATGGAGAAAGGGTACTAAGGCCGTCTGCAGTTACCGCCTTTCTCCACAGCACTAGAAAGCCATCTTCCAATAATAAAAGCTGTAGTCCCCGGCATTCTAAGCTACATTCACACCTCACTCTGGCTTTGCCAATTTTTCTTTATTTTCTTCAGGTTGCACCTCCAACCTACTGCGTTGTGTGGAAGGCGATTCCCTCCGGGCCGCCGCCATGACGACCGCCATCTTGGAGCGCCTGAGCACCCTGTCCGTGAGCGGACAGCAGCTGCGCCGCCTGCCCAAGATCTTGGAGGATGGCCTTCCCAAGATGCCTTGCACCGTGCCGGAGACGGACGTGCCCCAGCTCTTCCGGGAGCCTTACATCCGCACCGGGTACCGCCCCACGGGGCATGAGTGGCGCTACTACTTCTTCAGCCTCTTTCAGAAACACAACGAGGTGGTCAACGTCTGGACCCACTTGCTGGCGGCCCTGGCCGTCCTCTTGCGATTCTGGGCCTTTGCGGAGGCCGAGGCCTTGCTGTGGGCCTCCCCTCACTCCCTGCCCCTGCTCCTCTTTATCCTGTCCTCAATCACGTACCTCACCTGCAGCCTTCTGGCCCACCTGCTGCAGTCCAAGTCGGAGCTCTCCCACTACACGTTCTACTTTGTGGACTATGTTGGCGTGAGCGTTTACCAGTACGGCAGTGCCTTGGCCCACTTCTTCTACAGCTCCGACCAGGCCTGGTATGAGCGGTTTTGGCTTTTCTTCTTGCCAGCAGCTGCCTTTTGCGGCTGGTTATCTTGTGCTGGTTGTTGTTATGCCAAGTATCGTTACCGGAGGCCTTATCCTGTCATGAGGAAGATCTGTCAGGTGGTGCCAGCTGGACTCGCCTTCATCCTAGACATCAGCCCCGTGGCACACCGTGTGGCGATTTGCCACCTGGCTGGCTGCCAGGAACAGGCAGCCTGGTACCACACCCTCCAGATCCTCTTCTTCCTGGTCAGCGCCTACTTCTTCTCCTGCCCGGTGCCCGAGAAGTACTTTCCCGGTGCCTGTGACATCGTAGGCCATGGGCATCAGATCTTCCATGCCTTTCTGTCTGTCTGCACGCTGTCCCAGCTGGAGGCCATCCTCCTGGATTACCAGGGGCGGCAGGAGATCTTCCTGCAGCGCCATGGTCCCCTGTCTGTCTACATGGCCTGTCTCTCCTTTTTCTTTTTGGCGGCCTGCAGTGCTGCCACCGCAGCCCTCCTGAGGCACAAAGTCAAGACAAGACTGACCAAGAAAGATACCTGAGGCATGTCTGTGTGGCAAAGTGTGGAGGAGGCCCATGGTGATTCGGTACAATAGAAATTGACTTTTTATTTTGTAAGGATTGGCTTTTGAATTAATGAGTGTTTCCAAGGATATTCCCTTGCTCCATGATTTAAATGCCAAAAGATTCAAGAGTTTTGTTGTTGTTAAGGAAAAGGAGTATTACTTTTTCTTCTGGGTTATAACCTTACAAGGAAGGGAAGGGATCTTGGCCATGATTAATGGGACGCTGAATTAAGGAGAACCATCTTCATGCCTGAAAATTTTGCAGAATCTTGAATGTGGTTTCCAGAAGCGAGGCCCAGAGTTGAATACATAATAAAATTGGACTGGAAAGTCCATAGCTGGCAGGTCCTCACCCTATTGGAATGGCCATCCTACTGTACCAATCTTTGGCTGTTGAATAGATTGTCCCAAGGATCCTTTTACATTTGGACTTCAGATTGTCTAAGGTGGAAAAGTCAGAAACTTCAAGATGAAGATGAAACCATTAGACATAATGAATTAGTTCATCTGATTCCTGGTCCCCTCCTTGCTGCTTGTCCACTGTAAAATTGGTTCTTTTTACAGGACAACTGTCCGCCTGTTTTGTTGGAAGTGCTGTTTACTCCCACCCCTTCTTTTCCTGATAACATAAAAAATTACAAATAAGTCATACTTCCAGGAAATACTTGGAGCCATGTAGGGATTCAGGAAGCTTATTCTCATATATTACTAATGTTTGTGGTACTAGAAAATACAGTGCCAAGAGCCACCAGGAGGCCCAACCAAGGAGAATGAATACTGTTTGGTGTCATGGGACTCTTCTATTTTATACCTGAGGGCTGCAGGATTACATGAGCGATATTAAGGCTGCCCTACAGAACAGGATATCCAGGAGCTGCATTGGAGAAATTTCTTCACATTTGACTAGCATGTTTAAAAAGCCTGTGGTGGAGTACATTGGTTCCAAGGGTCCCTCTAGGGATCTGCTTATTTCAAGAGGTACCCAAGGTCCATCCTCCCACATAATGCTGCCCTATGAAGAAACCACACAACTGCCCCAGTTCAGGGACCTCAGGCAAGCAGTTCTGCCTCAGCTTAGAACAGAACTCCTAATTAAGTCCTAGGACAGACAAGCATGTGTATTCACTGCGAATTGGTCCCTGAAGTCTCCTTTGGGTGAGAATGTGTGAACCAGATACCCTGTAGCTGAAATGCTCTGATTCGAATGTTGCTGCTCAACATCTTCTGTGATAGGTGGTGCTTGCCACTGCTGTGTTCCGACCACGCAGCTCTCTCTGAGGAATGACTTCTGTGCTAATCCAGTGAAGGAGGCTGTGCCAAAAGAATGGCTGGAAAGACTCCACAGGGACTGCTTCCTATCAGTATAAGGCCCCTTATTTACTAAAAAGGAAAGTGGTTTAACTCCAGTTTGATGAACTTACCCTGTTACTAGGTTACAATTTCTTGCTTCAAATTTTCGTTTCCTACTTTTCTGTGAGAGATTTGTGGGTTTTGTGCCTTATAAATGGAAATGTATGAACACTTAATGTATGTGCACGTGAGATTTTCTGTTTCGAGTTATTGAGGTAAGAAAATAATACATTGCTGTCCAGCCAGTGAATGAAGTTTCAGAAAGCTAGACTTGCTTCTCAATCAAAAGACTGTTAATCTGTGTTTTGTCCAAAAAGAGAAGAAAAAATTCCAACTCAAGCTATCATATAATCTTTATATCAAGAAAGTTTATGTCTTGTCAGCTACATTGTTTTCCAAATGGATTTCTCTTGTTAATCCTCAAGTATGTGAATTTCTGTGCTACCCAAGTGTCTTACACAAGCTTCGGGTGTCTAGCCAAACTCACAGTAAATCAAATTAGCAAATCTGAACTGGGTGGAACCAAACAATGGAATGGGGAAATTGTGCAAGCACATTGCAAGTGGAGGGTCAATTAAGATAGGAACTACAAAGTGTTTTAAATTTTCATTATTATAGATTGTTGAAAGGTTATTCTTTTAAAAGTTAGAGGGAGAAGTAAAGGAAAGAGAATAAGAGGAAGGTGTGAATCAAACTCTCTGGTGTTATTGGTCGGCATAGATTTTTCAGGCCAAATCTCGGCTTTTTTTTTTTTTTGAAGAATAAGAGGTACAGTAGTGATCCTCAAATACATCTACAGACCAATGCCAGTCTGTACATATTAATGGCCTGTGGTATGATAACTGCAGAAAGTTACTAAACTTTGAGATAATTGCTACATAATTTTTATTTTAATTTACACAATATTGGCCCACAAGTAATCTGAAATTTAAAAATAGCTTTTTTTTTTTTTTAAAGATTTGAGAGGTGAAGCATTGAGGTAGGGGACTATAATGTGCTTTCAAAATACCAGTAGCATTAGAACTACATCAACACAGGAAATACAGATGTGTTTAAGTACTCAGATTTCTGAAGAGTTAAACACTCTTTTTAAAGCATTATCATTAAAATGAGAACACTAGTAAGGAACAAGCCTAGTTAGTTTAAAAAGCTTAATTAGGAATTTGATAACAGAGATTGCTGTCTCACTCTAACATAGCCCCTCCAACAGTTGACATCTACTGGAAATTCTGCTGGTTGTCTCTTCCTCTCTTTTAATTAACATTTTCAAACTTTAAAAAGTGTAAATTCCTCTGGAAAAATAGTAAACTATCAGTCATTTACATTTTAATGTGAATAAGAATTCAGATTTGTTTGAAGTCCTACTCAAGATAACAGGGGAATAGTGGGACATCGCAAACTAGGTACATAGTTGCCTGTTTCCCTCATGCCTAGTTCTTCCTACTTGTATTTACTGATGAACTAATGTTAATGTTCTTGAGATGTTAGGATTTCATGTCCAATTTTGACTGAAATTATGTCACTCAATGACCATGTTCTCAAGTCATCTACTGGAAGTTTGAAATAGTAGGAGTATAGAGCCATGGAATGAAGATAGTTTATTCCTGCCTCTGTGGCCCACCTGTTCACAAACTGTATCTGAATGCTTGAAAACTTTAGCTTCTTTGGTTACTGCACTGCAGTTTCAAATGGATCCTCCAAATGATGTTCAGGTCTTACCCAAAGAGGACACAGCCATTGTCTGTCTATTAATTGTATTGGTCTTGTGTTTTGCTCGATTGCTTGGCAAAGAAAAAAGTGGAACTATTTTCTGTCTATATAAATCTATTCACACAAATAACCATTAAACTGATTTTGTATATGGATTGTTATAGTGTCAGTAATTTAAAGAAACAGCTCCCTTTTTAAAAGATTTATTTTATTTATTTGAAAGGCAGAGTTACAGAGAGGGAAAGACAGAGACAGAGGTCTTCCATCCTCTGGTTCACTCCCCAAATAGCCACATTAGCCAAGACCAGGCCAGGCTGAAACCAGGAGCCAGAAGCTTCCTCCAGGTCTCCCACGTGGGTACACAGGGGCCCAAGAACCTAGGCAAACTTCTGCTGCTTTCCCAGGCCATTAGCAGGGAGCTGAATCAGAAGTGGAGCAGCCAGGACTCGAGCTAGCACCTATATAGGATGCTGGCGCTGAAGGCAGTAGTTTAACCTGTGCCATAGTGCTGTCCCCACCCCTGTTTCTTTTTTTTTTGACAAGTCTCTTGACAAAAGCTATCTTAACAAGCCCCATCCTAAAGAAAGGTTTTATTTAGAAAACACTGCCAGGAGAAGATATTAATTTATCTGGAAGTAAAAAAATACTTCCATACAAAGACCCCCAAAACATAAAATTCACACACAAACACAAACACACACCCCTAATCCCTACTTAGAATAAATTGCCCCCATAAAAGATACGGAGTTGGTTTCTCTGGGGATTTTTTTTTTTTCAAGATTTATTTATTTATTTGAAAGGCAAAATTAGAGAGAGAGGTCTTCCATCTACTGGTTCACTCCCCCAAACAGCTGCAATGGCCGGGGCTGGGCTGGTCTGAAACCAAGAGCCAGGAGCTTCTTTTGGGTCTTCCACATGGGTGCAGGGGCCCAAGCAGTTGGGCCTTCTGCAGCTGCTTTCCCGGGTGCATTAGCAGTAAACTGGATTGGGAGTGAAGCAGCCAGTATTTGAAGTGCTTTACTCTGTACACCATAGTGCTGGACCCTCTCTGGGGATTTTAATCTAATTGAATAAATAGTTTTGTGGAATTTAGTGTTAAACATTTCAAAATTTTGCATTGATAGACTACATTTTCTGAAGTCTAAACATTATAAATTATTTTGTTTATTCTTTAAAGGTTTATTTATTTATTTATCTGAAAGAAAGAGTTACCAAGAGGCAGAGGCAGAGAGAGAGGGAGAGAAAGAGGGAGAGGTCTTCTATCCGCTGGTTCACTCCCCAAATGGCTGCAATGTTGGAGCTTGGCTGATCCAAAGCCAGGAGCCTGGAGCTTCTTCCAGGTCTCCCACATGGGTGAGGAGCCCAAGTATTTTGGCCATCTTCCACTGCTTTCCCAGGCGCATTATCAGGGAGCTGGATCTGAAGTGGAGCAGCCAGGAATTGAACCAGTGCCCATATGGGATGCCAGCACTGCACACAGCAGCTTTATCCGATATGCCATAGCATTGGCCCCTCAACATTATGAACTCTATAGTGCTACAATATGTCAGATAATATAATGTACATACTATGAAATGTGGCATATATCCAACCAAATAATTTTGTAGCCCTCAGGATTGGATTTAAATAGCTATGTAAAATATGATCCTCTATGTTACTGCAGCTTCAGGGCACTGTCACAATAACAATTTAAAAAAAAAAGTAGTATTTCTAGGGTTAAAGGCTCCAACTGGTAGAATTATGGATGTCCTTCTTGTCCAAACACTTAATCACCAGCATATGCAGTTTGCAAATGCTTCTGATGTCACTGGTACTAGTATAACCTCTCTTCAGATACTGGTTCATTAAGAATTTATTGAACATCTATAAGTGACAGATATGTTGGCTCTGCAGATACCACAATGAGGAAAACAAACTAATTGAGGACCAGCATCTTCCCCTGGTGCCATGAAAGTGTCCCCCTCTCCAGGTCTCGGCCCCAGTCACAGTCTGAGGGCTGGAGAGCTTGGAGGAGCTAGAATCTGCTTTGGGCCAGAAGCTTTTCCGAAGGATTGAGTGCTCTTTCCTTTTCTGTCCAGAGGCTAGAAACATCACCCAAAGCAGCGAGGCAGTCACTTGAAAGGTACCTTAACCTCTTGTTAGGCCTGCTGTTTCTCCAGGTCTTCTCCCTGCTCTCTATCTGTTTAAATTCAGTACTGGGGACCCTTCGCTTACCCCCACAGACAGGAGTCTGAAATTTCCATAAGCGTTATAGACTTCCAGGATGCATGAAGTCTCATCCTTCAGAGAAGGAGCATGAGGATCTGACTGAGCACAGAGTCCTGATTTGAAGGGCTGAAAACAGCATGCTGCAATCTGGCTGCCTACTTTAAAACATAATCTTGAGGCCAGCGTTGTGGGACAGGGGTTAAGCCGCTGCTTGTGATGATGACATCCCATATGGGGACCTGTTAGACTCCTGGCTGCTCTACTTCCCATTCAGCTCCCTGTTAATGTCCCAGGAAAGGCATCACAAGATGGCCCAAATGCTTAGGCCTCTGCATCCATGAAGGAGACCTGAAAGAAGTTCCAGGCTCCTGGCTTCAGCCTGGCCTAACCCCAGCCATTGTAGCCATTTGGAAGGTGAACCAGCAGACAGAAGATCTCTTTCTTGGTCTCTCCTTCTCTCTATAACTGTATTTCAAATAAGTATAATACATCTTTAAAAAGAACTTACCCTGGGGCCGATGCTGTGGCTCACTCCGTTAATCCTCCGCCTTGTAGCGCTGGCATCCCATGTGGGTGCCAGGTTCTAGTCCAGTTGCTCCTCTTCCAGTCCAGCTCTCTGCTGTGGCCCATGAAGGCAGCGGAGGATGGCCCAAGTGCTTGGGACCCTGCACCCGCATGAAAGACCAGGAGGAAGTACCTGGCTCCTGGCTTTGGATTGGCGTAGCTCTGGCTGTGGCAGCCATTTTGGGGGGTGAACCAACTGAAGGAAGATCTTTCTCTCTGTCTCTATCTCTCACTGCCTAACTCTATCTGTCAAATAAAAAAAAAAAAAAAACCCTTACCCTTTGTGAAATTTGCATGGAAAAATTTAATGTGCAAGAAAAAATTACATTAAAAAGTTCATTTAAATATTAACTTTTGGAGCATATCTATCTAAAGCAAGGGTCTTCCTTACTTAATGTTTTTCATGGGAAGAGGTGTTAACTGTATTTTGAGATACCAGGAGCCTTGGCCAAGTTGAAGGCTACAAAATAACAACTCAAATTTTATCATGCATTATGCTTTCTAAAACATTTTCACATTCATTTGAGCTTCTAAGTAACTGTTTGAGGTAAATAAGGCCAGAAAAGTCTCCATTGAACTAGAAAACACTAGGGAAGTGAGTAACTGGTTTAAAGTCACAACTAGTTGTAATACTGATAAATTCCTTCAGTTAAATTAAGGGACCAGCTAATTAGAAACATAAGCATCAAAAACTGTCAGAGCCCTTTACAGCATATACATTATGTATACCTTTATGTAATCTCATTTTAACTTTTGATCTTCAACTCATGCATAGCCAGAGTTGACCATTTCTTTTCAACAGACTGACCACTCTGCACTACATCCTGTATGCCAAAGCAGGCTTTCTCTGCATCACAGAGGCTTTCCAGAAACCTCAAAGGCTCATTGTTCACAGGTCTTTGGTGGCTGGATTAAAAAGTCAAATCTCACTCTCGAGTCACAGTTTCTTGAAAACACCTTCAAACTTTTGGACAAGAAACTTGTCTGGTTTTAATCTTACAAAATCCCCAATCCTCTCATATTTCAAACAGTTGGTTCCTCCAGGCATTTTGTCAAAAGATATGAACATGAACATGATATTTTAAAGACTGTTTCTCATGGGGCAGGTGTTTGGAGTATCAGTTCTAAAACCTCGCTTGGGATACCCACATTCCATATGAGTGCTTGGTTCAAATAGTGACAGCTTAAAGTCCCGGCTCCTCAGCTTCCTATCCAGCTTCTTGCTAATGCATACCCTGTAAGGCAGGAGGTAACGGCTCAAGTAGTTGGATCCCTGTTACACATATAGGAGACTCTAATTGAGTTTCCATCTCCCAGTTCAGTCCCAGCAGTAGTGAGCATTTATGGAGTGACCAGGAGATGGAATATCTCTGTCAGTCTCTGCCTTTCAAATAAAAAAAAAAGTTTATCTGCCTTTATAAAAGAGTTAAGTAAACAGTAGGAAGAAAACAATTATTTTTTTCTCTTACAGTAATATATGTTTATTAAATAAAATGCATAAAAGTAGGAAAAAATAGAATCCATGGGCCCATCAATAAAGGAAATCCATTTGAAGGGAAAATTTAGGTTTTGTCAAAAATATTGTCAATGATAGAAGGCAAAGTAGCAATGTCATGCAAATTTTACTGAAGAACCGGGAATTAGAAATTTTAAGCAACCAACCTAGCACTTACTCTGTAAAATACAAAATCAACACACTTTGGCTTTGTTTTCAAAAATACCAAGACTGTTAGATCACACTGCCTTCTGACCTTGATTAAGTAGCTAATTTGATGATGCCATGACTGAGATAAAGCTCAGAAAACAAAGCCACTGATAACGGATTATCTTTCACACACTGGAAGAATTATGTGAAATGACTCTGCTGGATCAAAGCCTCAGAGTGCAGTACTAGAAAGACTTTCACTGAAGGCAGGCCTGGCTCTTGAACTGCTAAGTATGTGGGTTCATTGACAGCCATTCTACAAACAGCACCACTAGGTACCAGGCTCTGGTCCAGCCACCTGGAATTCAACATGAATACAACATGAACAAAGCATACAAATACCTGTCCTTATGGAGGAACAACAAGCCAAATACATAAATTACAGAGTATGTAATATACACACACACGCACACACACACACATATATATATAGTATGCTAGAAGGTATTAGCAACAACAACTAGAGCAAGGAAGAAATGGAACGTGTGGGTGGTATGAACATAGCATTGGGGAAGATCACCGAAAGAGAGGTAAGGGAGCCAGCTATTTCTTTCCCAGAAGGGAAAAAGTTCAAGGGCCCAAAGGCCAGAGCAGGCCAGGAATACTGAGATCTGCATGAATGGAGAAGTAGAGTAGGCGAGGAGGACAGAGTATGTAGGCCTTTTAAGGACTTTGCCTTTTACTATGACTTCAAGAAGGGGCAAACTGGGGAAGAATTCTATCCACCGAAATTCAGGGTAGCTGTTTCTGTGGATTAATTACTAACTGTATATTACCTAGCCTAAAGAAAATAGGGCAAATTCTGTTGCTGGCAATCACACAAAGCCAAGTTACCATTAAGTTAATCTGTTGATGGACCTGGCCCCACAGATTGTGTTCCTGGAGATACACATTTGTGGTTACAGGATTCTGTCCAGAGCATTTTTTCTTTCTTTCTTTGAGCAAAGCGAGATTTAAGTCAGAAACCTCCTGCCACAGCAGCCAGGAGGAGGGCTCCAAGAGAGACAGACCTGAGAAACTGGTTGAAGTGGAGTCTTTTAAGTACAGTTTGGGCATCAGTCAATCAATATGTGAGGGGATGTGGGCAAAACCCATGAGAAAGCCAGAACTGTAATCCTTTCTAGCCTGCTCATTATAAAACAAACAAACAAAAAATCAGACGGGTGGGATAGGTAACTTCTTTCTAGTCTCATAATACTAGAAACAGAAGGGTGGGATTGGCACTTTTGTCTTGCTAAAGATAGCTTTGGGTAGAAGCAATCATTTTGTACAGTATTCTCACTTCCACAGGGTTCTGACCTACCTGCCTATTAGTTTATCTCCTCACATTCCATCCCACTAACCCCCTCCAAGAATGGACCCTAACTGCTTTTAGGGATATGTGGGCAATGGTCACTCTGGCTGCTTCATGTTGAAAGGGAGCATCATTGAGGGACGGCAGCAGAGCATTCTTCTGAGGGTCGATCTAAAGCTCCCTGGTAGAATGCAGAGTTCCTCAGGGGCATTATCTGGAGTACCGCCTAGAGTTCTAGTTGTTTAGTCCTGGATTACACAAAGCATGTAAGACCATTGTTGCCAGCGCTGCGGCTCAATAGGCTAATCCTCCGGGCCTTGCGGCACCGGCACAGCGGGTTTTAGTCCCGGTCAGGGCACCAGATTCTGTCCCAGTTGCCCCTCTTCCAGGCCAGCTCTCTGCTATGGCCCGGGAGTGCAGTGGAGGATGGCCCAAGTCCTTGGGCCCTGCACCCGCATGGGAGACTAGGAGAAGCACCTGGCTCCTGGCTTCGGATCAGCGCGATGCGCTGGCTACAGCGCGCTGGCCGCGGCAGCATTGGAGGGTGAACCAACAGCAAAGGAAAACCTTTCTCTCTGTCTCTCTCACTGTCCACTCTGCCTGTCAAAAAATAAAAAGTTAAAAAAATAAAAGATCATTGTTATCTCTCTCAATTGAAAGCCTCATCTTTTTTTTTTTTTTTTTTTTTTGGACAGGCAGATCCTCATCTTTTGAGATCCAGCTAGAAGCCTCAATGTCAAAGACTCCGTTTTAGAGCTTTAGCTATAAAAGAATTGTCAGGTTTAAACCATTTGGTCAAAATAAGTTAAACCTAAGCATCTTAACCAAAGCTAGTCAGATGAAGCTAACTCCTTTAAGATTCAAATTCTTAAAGCAATTGTACTCAATAAAGGCAACACAAAACACATGAAACTTCCCTGAGAGCTATAAAACTTCGTTACCTAGGTCAGTTAGAAAACACACAAAAATCCTGATTGAAAAGGATTAGTAAGTGGTATCAGCATATGAGCTGATCACCTAGTAACAGCTGAAAATTTCATGTTAAAAAGAGAGAATAAAGTAATCTTGTTGGCCGGCGCTACGGCTTACTAGGCTAATCCTCCGCCTTGCAGCGACGGCACTCCGGGTTCTAGTCCCAGTCGGGGCGCCGGATTCTGTCCCGGTTGCCCCTCTTCCAGGCCAGCTCTCTGCTGTGGCCAGGGAGTGCAGTGGAGGATGGCCCAAGTGCTTGGGCCCTGCACCCCATGGGAGACCAGGAGAAGCACCTGGCTCCTGCCATCGGATCAGTGCAGTGCACCGGCCACGGCAGCCATTGGAGGGTGAACCAACAGCAAAGGAAGACCTCTCTCTCACTGTCCACTCTGCCTGTCAAAAAAAAAAAAAAAAAGTAATCTTGCTATCTGTCTTTTAAGAAGAGGTAACTTTAAAATAATTTCCTTCTACTCTCATACAAATTAATCCTGCACAGCATTCGACTTCCACAAGTTTTCACAAAAATTCTTTCTATCCAAAATCTTACTTTAACCTTTCATAACTAATGATGCATTCTCATGCTTATAGCTTCCCCCACAATTTTATTTCCCACCTACGGGTTCCTTCAATTCACATCTTAAAACCATCCTCAATGCCTCTAAATTAAAAAAAAATCATTTAAAAGAATATACAGAATTTTAACCCATAGTTACTTTAAAGCAGTTTTTGAATTTTGAAAATTTTAAAGCAGCTTTTTAATCCAGGTAGGAAACAGGTAAGTGATGTTTATACAATTATACTTTACCAAAATGTTGCAAGCCCTAGGAGTCTCAGGAAAATATCTAGCATAGAAGACAAAATATGTAACCATAGTACCAAAAACACTTTGTTAAAAGACATACATAAATATTTTTGAGAATCACATTGTGGGTGGCAAAGATTGAAAATAGTTATAACTACAATAACAGCTCAACAGAGTATCACATTTTAGGAAGTATAACATGATTTCACAGACCTTTATACATTTTAGGGCAGTGGCAAATAATCAGAGAGCTCTGTAGTTTAACAAGGCATATATTGACAATCGGAGGATAGAAAAATCTCTTTTTAAATTATTATTACTATTTTTTTCTTTTTGGGTTCCCCCCACCACTGGCTGCATAGAAGGAAAACCCCAGTGAAGGATGTAGTGACACCTAAGGTAACCCCGAAGGGACAACATGGCTGTGCGGCTCTCTTGAGGTCCTCTTATCCTGCCCCTAGGAGGCTGATGCCA